GAAGCGGCGCGCGGCGGGCGGCGATCGCCACGTGCCGCCGCCGCGGCGGCTGCGCAGCGGCGTGGGCTTCGGCGCGGAGCACTTCGGCGAGGCGCGCTGCTACGTGGAGGGCGGCCTGCGCAAGGTGCGCCCCTACTACTTCGACTTCCGCACGTACTGCAAGGGCCGCTGGGTKGGCCGCAGCCTGGCGCACGTGCTGGGCGCCGAGTTCCGCGCGCGGCCCCTGGCCGCCTTCCGCGCCGCCGCCCGCGCCGGCCGCCTGCGCCTCAACGAGGAGCCCGTGCGCGACCTGGACACCGTGCTCAAGGTGGGCGCCCCTGCGAGCGAGGCCGCTCTGCTCGAGCGCCCCATGGCTTCTTACTCGGCCCCTGGAGGATGCGGCCGGCACAGGGTTGTGCCTTTGGGGCTGCCGTTTTACTTGGCGCGACACGTAATCCGCTTAAATCATCATAAACCCACCTAGATGCCACTGCATGCTCTGGGTGTCCCTGCTCGAGCAGGGACATTGGACTGGGTGATCCACAGAATCACAGAGTGGTTGAGGTTGGAAGCGGCCTGTAGAGATCACCTAGTCCAACCTTCCTGGTCGTGCAGGGATACCTAGAGCGTGGGGCACCGTGTGGCATTCAGGTTTTGAAGGTGTGAAGACCTCCAGAGAAGGAGACTCCCCAGCCTCCCTCGGCAGCCTGTTCCAGGGCTCTGCCACCCTCACGGTAAAGAAGTTCCTGCTCACATGGAGATGGAACTGCCTCTGTTGCAGTTTACACCCATTACCTCTTGTCATGTCACTGGCCACCACTGGAAAGACCCTAGAAGCCCCTTCCAACCTCAGCCATTCAGGGATTTCTAGGCTGAGCTGTTTGCTCCATCAGATCAAATGCCCACTGCAAGTACCAAAGCATGGTGGTTCAATTGGTGAGATTCCCACTAATCGCACCTTCTTTCCTCCTCCTTTTATTCCCTTCTCAGAATAATGACTTGATCAGGAATACAGTGCATCGCCACGAGCCTCCAGTCACTGCACAGCCCATCCAAATCTTGGCAGAGGACGACGAGGTGGTGGTTGTGGACAAACCCTCCTCTCTCCCAGTGCATCCATGCGGCAGGTTTCGCCACAACACCGTCATCTTCATCCTGGGCAAAGAGCACAACCTGACGGAGCTGCACACCATTCACCGGCTCGACCGCATGACCTCGGGGGTGCTCATGTTTGCCAAGACCGCGGAGGTGTCCAAGAGGATTGACGAGCAGGTTCGCCAGAGGCAGGTGAGAAACGAACGAAGGCTTCTGGAGTCGCTCTCATGATGCCTTGAAGGTTTGGCCAAAGGTTGGTTAAAACCTTTATCTCAGCAAGACCGAGTTCCCAGCACACACAGTCACAGAACGGTGGAGGTTGGAAGAGACCTCTAGAGATCTAGTCCAACTCCCCTGCTCCAGCAGGGATACCCAGAGCACAGGGCGGCATCCAGGTGCGTTTTGAAGACCTCCAGAGAAGGAGGCTCCCCAATCTCCCTGGGCAGCCTGTTCCAGGGCTCTGTCACCCGCACAGGAAAGAAGTTCTTCCTCACGTGGAGATGGAATTTCCTGTATTTCAACTTGTACCCATCGCCCTTGTCCTGCTGCTGACCACCACTGAGTTGTCTTCATATTCTTGTCCCACAAGGTGTGGGAGGCCTCAGGATGGAAAGACTGGGCAAAAACTTGCTTTATTGTGGTACTGCTAAGCTGAATGTGGTCCCCTTGCCAGAGGGATTGTGCAGTAGCAGTTAGAGATTGGTTTTGCTTATTATTGAAAGTATCAATCACTTGACTTTTTTTTGACAAGATTTACAAGTGTGGGTTTTTTTCCTCATTTTGTTCTTGCTCGGATTTCTGTTCAGCTGTAATAAAACTCTGGGAATAGTTTTCCTGCGGATGGGTTTCAGTGAAGAGAAAGAGACTGCTCTCTAGGATGGGACGGGATGTGATGGAGGCAGAGCTGGTTTTTGCTTCCTAATGAGTTTTGTCTTTCACATCTGTTCTTCCCTCCCCACAGCTGGAGAAGGAGTACGTGTGCCGCGTGGTGGGGCAGTTCCCAGAGGAGGAGGTGGTCTGTGAGGAGCCCATCCTGGTGGTCTCCTACAAAGTGGGCGTGTGTCGCGTGGACCCCAAAGGCAAGTCCTGCAAAACCGTCTTCCAGAGGCTCAGTTACAACGGTGAGACCAGCGTGGTCAGGTGCCTGCCCTACACGGGCCGCACGCACCAGATCCGCGTGCACCTGCAGTACTTGGGGCACCCTATCGTCAACGACCCCATATACAACATGAAGGCGTGGGGCCCTGCGAGGGGCAAAGGTGGCAAGATTGATAAAACGGATGAAGAGCTGCTGGAGGCGCTGGTGGAGGAGCACCGTGCCAAGCAGAGCCTGGATGTGTTGGGTCTTTCGGAAGAGGACTGGGACCCCAGCACAGGCAATAAGGACTGTGGTAGCTCAGGTGACTGCGGGGAATCTGCTGTGAACGGGRACTCCTGCCCTGCTGAGGACACTAAGGATCTGGAGAGAGGTGAAATSCCCACCGGTGTCCAGAGCTGCGATACCAACCTGGGAACGCTCGGAAACAGCCAAGAGGGGAGGTCAGGCGAGGGCTCGGTTGGCTCCGTGGGAGAGGAGGGTGCCGACGAGAAGGACCCTCTGTGCCCGGAGTGCCGGATAAGCCGGCGGGACCCCTCTCCGAGGGAGCTGGTGATGTACCTGCACGCCCTGCGCTACAAGGGGGCAGGCTTYGAGTACTGCTCCAAGATGCCCCCGTGGGCCATGGAGGACTGGCAGGAATGACGCCGGAGCCTCGGGCACTGTCCTGGCACGGCTGGAAAAGCGTGTGGTGAAGAGCCATGCCCGTTTGATGGGAGAAGCAACAGCTCTGCTCAGGTGGACTTTTCAGTGTGGCTGAGGTGAATAAACTGCCTGTGGCTTGACGTGGGGTGGAGAAACTCGTGCTGCTCATGGGTACTTAAAAGATGAGCAGGAAATCAGGGCTGCACCATCTTTCCAGGTGTTCCCTTTAGTTAATTAACACATCTGTGCAACACCTGGCTTGGCACAGGCAGTTGGAAACCTTCACCTCAGCGTGTTCTGGGTCTGGCTCTGGTTACTCACACGGGTGCAGGGCATGCACTTAAATTCAACAGCTTGCTTCCTTCCATCCTGTATTTAATGCKCTTGTATCTGGGAATGAGAATGGCTGGAATGTTGTTACCATGCTGGATAGCCTCTTATGCAGAAAAACACTTCTACTTTGATTTGTCAGGTYGTTTTAAAAGCCAAGCATTAAACCTGAGAACAAAATATGCTAAAACCCAAACCTTGTAGAGCTGATCCATTCCTGGCAACGCATTTTTTATTGAACTGTACATAACCATACGCCTGTTYTTCTTTTGGTGCTTCTGTTTTTTACACACTTTGCTTTGAAATCACCCTCACAGATTTTCAAATACTTGCTGAATTTAAGAGTAGTACCTCGAGAGTCCCTTTTGTTCTGTGGTATGAGCAGTTGTAAAAACAACCAGTTTTACAAGTCAGTTTTTTAAAAGGCATCTTGTAGTAATATATTTGCAGGATGATAAATATCAACATAGTTACTCTACTGGCCTGTGTTTATAGATTAGGGGTTGGGTTCTACCTTTCTAAAATGTCAAAAAAAAAAAACATTTAAAGTTGGAGGAAAGAGTCCAGGGGCCTTGGTATCATTAAGAAGGGGTGACAGGAGCCTCGTCACAATATGAACCAGGTTGAGGTGCTCCTTCCACATCTTGTTGGGTGCCAGGGAGCTCCAGCCTCCTCTCAGTCCAGACACGCATGGTTTCTATACATCTTTTCCATTGTCAGTTTGTGGTGCGTCTCATCCAGACAGCTCTGAACACAGGAGGTAGAAGCTCTCCTGCGTTTGAGAGATGATACAAAAACTCAATGCCTGCTGTATAATTCGTGTGTAACAAAGGGGGAAGGTTGGGCTGASTGGGAACTTGGGCCCAAATGATGCATCTTGAGGCAACTGGCTCCTAAATGGGGATATGAGGTACGTGGTGATGCATCCCCAATTCTGTTGTCTCTGCAAGGAACAGGTATCTGCATAGCACTGAATCAGAATCATGCCACAACACACGTTTTGGCTGTAGCAGGGGCACACTAGGTAGCCTTATTTTAACCAGATTTTTTTTTTTATGGGAGGAGTTTGCTGTGTCGAGTCAGAATCTGCATGGGTTTTAATACAAAAATTAATTTTTGTAAGGATTTAAGTGTAGTGAAGTCTGCATGGTGGGCTTGCAGCACTCATCCAGTTAATGGCATATAATAAAGCTCCTTTGAATAAGCAGTAATTCTATATTGAACCTATCGAGGGCAAGTGGTCTTGTAGGAGCTCTYTTGTTCCCTTAACTTCTTCATTGRGGTTTTTTAAGAAAATAGCTGTTGATGGACTATGTGAAGAGCAAGGGCTGCTTTGCTCCCTGCGATRCAGTCCTTCTCAGTCAGTAATAAAAATGAGGCCAGCTGCAGGGGTTGCACAAGCAAGCCTGGATGTCACTTGGGGAAGGAGCTGGGGTTAATGTGGCTGGAGCTCTCTCACCTCTTGATSTTGCAGGCGGATTTATGTGAGATCCTGGTAGGGACTAGGCTTACTTGGGGCTGTGAAAGACACTTATAAATTGTTTATTTCCTCTTCAGGACAGCAGTGTGGGGCAGGTTTCTCAGGGGCAAGTGGGATCTGTTTAGYAAAGCAAACTCTGGCTGAGAGAGTGAGTTGCTCGAATAGATGTCCTGTTCCACCAAAATTCTGGAGAGGGGGGAAAAAAAAAGGCCAAGAAACCAAAAGCAAAACTTGATGCCGACGAGGATGGGATTCGAACCCACGCGTGCAGAGCACAATGGATTAGCAGTCCATCGCCTTAACCACTCGGCCACCTCGTCACGAGAGCCCTGCTCCGCGCCCAGCCTATAGGAAGCGGCGGCGCCGGCTCCCGCGCGGCGGCCCGGCGCTGCGCGGCGGCCCCGGCTGCTCGGCCTCCCGCGGGCCCTGCGCGGGCTGCGGCTGCCCCAGGGCGACTCGGCGGCTCCACCAAGGCCGATGGCCGCCGCCGCCGCACCCCGGCTTGGCGGCGCGGCGTGCGGGAGAGGGGAGATGCTGAAAGGGCGGGCGCAGGCCTCGCTCCGCGGAGGCCGCCATGTTGTACGGCCCGCTGGGAGGCGCCATGTTGTACGGCGGCCGCTTGGCGCGGGGCGCACGCGCGGGAAGCGGCGGTTGGGTTTGAATTGCGAGGCGGCGGCGGCGCTCGATGGGAGCTGAGGGGCCGGAGGGCGGCGGGGACGCGGAGCCGTGAGGGCGGCCGCGGAGGGAGAGGAGGCCGCGCCGGGATCGTCGGAGGCGGTGGCCGTTACCGGTCGGTTAACGGTCGTTGACGGGTGGGAGGGGGAGAGACAAAAGGGCGGGAGCAGAAAGCGCGGCCTGCGGCTGAGRGGCCGCTGTGTGGCGGGCTGAAGCGGCCGATAAGGGCCCGTGTCGGCCGGCACGGAGGAGTCTGTGCCGGGAAGCGCCGGCACAAGGACCGGGCTGGCTGTAAACTGGTTTTCAGGGGTCGCCGAGAGCTCGGCTACTCCYGAGTGAAGCTTTTGTGGGTGGAATACTCGGTGTAAGGATCAGTGAGGAGAAGAGACTGGCGCCAAAACAGGAAAATGATGTTGTCTGTGTGCAAAACTTCATAAACCCGCGTGYCCGTTGTCCTCCTCTCGAGGTGGCCGCCAGAAGTGGCCTTAACTGATTGGGATTTCTGCTGCGTCTTTGGGAGGTCTCTGGAGAGGAGAGATGTTTTGCAAAAATAATACAAAACAAACCAAAGAAATGCTTTTTTGCAAGTTACCTTCTGCTTGCAAGTGTTCTGTTTACAAGATTTTTTTCTCTGGTTCTATAGCTGTTATTACTTAACTATTGCTTAATACTGCATTAAATACAATCCAAAATCTTATGGGAACAACGTCCTGAGCAACCTGTTCTGGCTGACCCTGCTCTGAGAGGGACCGGTTGGACTAGGTGGTCTCTCAAGGTCTCTTCAAACCTCAGACGTCCTGAGACTCGTCTTTGAAAGGCAAAAGCTGAGCGATTCTGTGCAGAGATCTGTTTTACGCAGCTTTACAATTCATTTTGCAAGGCAATTCATTTTGTAAGACAATTCATTTTTCAGGCRTTGCTGAAATCTAGGGGAGAAAAGCATTTAAAACTGCGTGTACTGATTTTTTTATAGCACAGATTCCATGGAACTGTGCTTGTTTTTTTTTCTGTTTGTGAGAGCAATATTCATTTGCAACTTGTGCTTTTTTTCTTGCTGAGTTCATTAATGGTTTTTGCATTTCAGTCCTGTATGTTATAGGAAAGGCACATCCTTCAGCAATGGACAATACTTATTCAGATGTCCATGTGGAAAAGTAAGTTGAAAGTTCATAAAGTTCTYCTCGTGGTATAAATTCTGTTGTCTTTTAGAGGTGAAGTGCTGCTTAAACCAGTTATACTCTTCAGCACCTCTGGAATGAAATGTGGTGTCCGTTGTAAAGAAAAATAGCAGGAAGTTGCTTTTATTGTGTGTAAAAACTGAGAAAAACTCATAGCAGTGCATCTGTAGATAAGCTAACTGTGAGAAATCAAGGGGAACCTGCTGAGTTTTTCAAATCTTAATTTTTTGAGTTAGTGGTGGAATTCACTGTTCCAGGYGAGCTTGGTTATAATATTTATCTATYTATTTATTTAAATAAYRGAGTAATTGGTTCACCTTTAAAAATGTGGCAGTATTGTTCAAGAAGTGCCTCTTGGTGCAAGGGTATGGGCTAATATTCACCTCCGTTTTTGTCTCCTACAGTGATAACACAGAGCATATCAGAGGGAAAAGACTTTCCTCCGTGAGTAGCTTGAGACATTTCCCAAAGTAAATCCATGTGGGAGTTTGAGAAAAAGAAAAGGAAGCTGTGAAGGCAGCCTCAAAAAAGTTGTAAAGAAGATATGCTTTTATAGCATGATCTTTTAGTGTAATTTTTGGTTATAGGTTCAAAATATTTTTATAGGTTAACTTATAGATTTTTTTTCTTAATCTCACTTTCTAAATGCTTACCAGTGCAATTTCCTCTTTTAATGTTATCTGGTCATCCTCCCTTAAGGCTGAATTCACTTTCCGGAGCTTACCACAGCCAAAAATTTTCTTTACTTATTTGAAATTTAAGGCTATCATTCCCAAATGAGGCATAACGTGTTAACTCTGGGATACATTGTTTTTAAAGGTAGAAAAGAGGGTGGCTTCTCGTGCCCTTTTCCTTTTCTTGCCTTCCAAACTAAGATCCAACATTGTGCCTCTATCTCCCTTGCTTCRGTTAAAATATTTTGCAGAAAAATCTTTCGTACCAGAGGCTTTGCCTGAGACATCTACTCCTTCCTTTACATCACAGCCTCCTCATCTGATAGGAGATGTCAAATCTATTATCTCTAATCTTTGACAGCTCCTACAATCTCAGAAAAACTTATAATTACAACTGAATTTCTGTGTATAGGGTTTTGGTGTGAGGTTAGTGTGAGGTGAGATAAGGGTTTGGGACAAATGCCCAATACAAAAGCCAATTTTAAGTCATGCCAGATGATGGCCGTTGTTTTTTGTTTCTGCACAAGTGATGCTTGAGCTCCTTGTATGCTTGCTGTAGGAAAACGGCAATTTACTACTTGGCTGCTGCTTGGTATTTTCTTTGGTGGCAGTTTTGACTCACGTTCTCAACTATTTCATTTTTATTTTTTAGATTTTAAAGGCTCCRCGAAGTCCCCTTCATGACCTTGGAAGTGGGAATGAATTCACTCAGGTACATCTGTTAAATCCTGCCTTGCTGATGCTCGTAACATTTTCAGCTTCTCACTTGTTGCTGAGTAAATTGTGTCATTGTAACAGCACAAGAAAAAAAATCCTCGTAGTAATAACTGCTCAGAGAGAATAATATTTGAAGTATTAAATGTTCCAAAAATACACTGAGTAGTAATGTAACTAATAATCACAWTTCAGTGTTTTCTGCTAAGAGGAATAACCAGATCATTGGCTTCTGCCACACTCCATTTTACTTGAAGTTTGACTTGCTAATTTTCAAACTAGTGAAGCCATTATAACAGATTTATAAAATGATCTTTTCTAGACCTTGCTTCTGAGATGGGAATCTATAGAGCAGGAGGAGAGGAGCTGGGGAAATATAAAGTAGTTTAAGGAAGTTGGTAAATTAAAACACGTACTTAATGGACTCTGATGTGTGTATGTGTGTGAGTGGGTTTTTTTTAATGTGGATTTTTTTTTCTAATGAAAAGCTGTGCCTGTTTTGGCTTGTGAAACAGGAACTGTACGCTGTGTATCCAACTATTTTGTTCCTTATTGTCAGGATATCAATGTGGAAAAACGTCGGAAAAACTCTCGACGTGTCAGCTTTGCAGACACCATAAAGTAAGTTTGTTCTGAAGGATGCAGGTGTCTATTCTTTATTTAAGCATAAAGTGCAATTTATTGTTATTAACCTGGTATCATCTAAAACTGCTATTCACAGAAACGTGTGGGTATTCAAGGAAAGAAATTATTATATACTGAGATTCACAGATCCTGAGTTCCAAGAGAGCCATAATTCTTTATTTATTCTTCCTATTTTTTTTTTTAAATTTGACTTTCTTTACTAATCCCTGCTGGTTGTTTTGTTTTGTTTTTAGCTGCAGAGTCTTCCAGAGAGATCATAAGACTGATGTGGCAGAGAAAGAAAATACAGGTAAAACTCCTTCCTCTCCTCTGGAGAGTCTGTGCCAACACAGACTGTTGGCAACAAGATTTCAGCCTGAGTTTAAGGAGTAGACCTGTTGGTCGCTGAGAGGGGATGATAAGGTCAACTGCTTAKGATTAACTTAGAGCAGGAATTATTTTTGAGGCAAACTAAAATTAAAAAAAAAAATTATTTGGAGTTTTGTATCAAACAAGTGCTGAGCAGAATGGCATGGTGCCTTCATCAGAGATTAGGTCGGAGGGATCTGAAAGGCCAATGCAGTTTCAACTGCCCTCAGAGCAGGGTGGTGTCTTAACAGAAAAGCATAGCAAGAGTAAGAACTGTACCATTTTTGCTTGTTTTGTCTCTGGATGTTTCGATGCTATTTCTCACATTCTATTGTTTGGTTTTTATTAGACTTGGAGTGTGTGGGAGATACAAGGAAACAAGTCCTGCTTAATCAGTAAGTTTGGAAAAAGGTTTTCTGTGATGCTACAGATCAGTCTCATAGATGCATTTCTTCACCTGACCTGCAGCTGTTAAAATGCTTTTCCTCAGAGAAATAGGCAAATGCAACATACTTCTCTTGGATATAAAATTGTTGACTGCTTTCAGTTGATGAGAGAAGGAATTCTTTAAAAATATATTTCTTAATTTATTATTATTTATAATAAACATATAATTTTATTATTTATATAAATTTAAAAATATATGTCGATCACTTGCAAAAAGACAGAGATGTTTTAAAAAAAAATAAGGGAAACGATTAAGTTAGGCTGAAAGCCATCCAGTTTGGTCAGTATGTGCAGCTTCCCATTTTACAAAGAAGCAAACTTTGACTTGAGGGGTGCAGCCTCAGTTCCCCAAAACGAAAGGAATAGATGACTGTGGAAGGTTGGAATWTAATAATAATAATAATAAATCTTCTTCCTGAAGAAGAAAATGTCAACTTTCATATTGATTGGTGGCTTATAGAATGCTAAGACAAGAGGAGGTAAGTCATTAATATTGTAGCTTTAGCTAAAATATATTGCAGAGCTATTTGCAGTGTTTATTTTTGTCTACTCCCTTATGACTGCCCCCAAATTTTCTGCCTTTCACTGTACTGTTAAAGCTCTCCAGTTGGAAGTCTCTTAACAAGCTCTTTACCTGACTCATTTTTTGCAGAAATGAAGAACAAGAACCTGAAGCTGTTCAGTGTGAGATCACTGGTGAGTTTTAAAGTGATTTTAATAACAAAATTATGATTTTTATCCTAAAGTACTGACACTCAGAGTATTTTTAATAATGCTACAGCAGTCTCCTCACTGAGGCAAGTGTTACCTGGACACACTTTGTCTCATAAAGCTATTTGCAAGCATTGTAGAAGCGTGAGTAGTTTCCTCACATGCTCAAAAAATTACTGAGAATTACTGAAAATATATCTTTGCTTTTTGACAGGGATGGACACTTTGCTTCATGCCCCTATCCAGGCATTGGTGCAGCCGACTGAGGTATATGAAGAGTTTTATTTATTTATTGTTCCTTACCTAAAATGATAAATCATTGTGGTCATGTAAAMTTCCTTGAAAATGGAATCTTCTGTATTTTCAAATATTTTTCTCGATCTTATAAGCATTATGCTGTGGTACTGAGAAACTTTATTTTTAAAAATGCATGCTGAGTTAGTTTCTCCATTCTTTTCAACTCTAGGTAAGAATGTAAAGGAGTTTATGGTTTAYGTTCGGATAAGTCTGGTTATTAAAGCTTGGGCACTTTTTATTCTACAGTGCAGAATAAAAATACATTGGTCCTTCTTAAAGCAGATTTAAAAAAAGATGTAGTATAGCTGAGAACATGTGTTCTGCAAGGCTGTAGTGGCCAAAATGAAACTTTGGCTCTGCTTATTTTACATGTAATTCATACATTCTTTTTTTAAAGTGTGCTTTATTTCCTGCATTAAAAGTATATGCAGTTTGAAGCAAGAACAAAGTTGGTCGTCAGCAGCCATTGCCATTTAAACGTAGTATAGCTGTAATATTTGAATCTACCTTCTTTCCTTGAGTGTTTTTAGTGTTCCTTGTCTAGGAGGAATCAAATCAATCTTTTTTTCAAAGAAGCTAGAGCTTAACCTTAGGGCTGCRTTAGGTGACCTTTGCTTTAAACAGAATAAACTATTGTATCACTTGCGATAAGTAACAGTAACTGTCATTTCTGATCCCCTTTTTTTTAGTGGCACAGTGCAGAAAACACCACTCAAAGAACAAATAGGCATGACACAACAGTGATCTTTTCAGATGAAAATGAAATGGATATGACAGCTCCTCACACTGCAGTGATTACACATGGCCTGGAAAACAATCAGACAGACACAGCTGAGAATATCCCATCAGTCCTGGCTGGGTTAAAGTCTAACGATGGAAAGTCAGAAATGAACAAAGAAATTCATTTTTCCTGTGATCCTTCAAACAGTTCGTACCCATCTTCTGAAGAGAAACCAGATGCAGGAAAGAAAATAAATTTCAATGCATTTTTGATGAGCCTGAAGTCAAATAAAAAGGTGCTAAATCCTATTGAAGGACCTGAAAAAGAGAACCTGTTTTTTGGTCCTTCACAAATTTCAGAAGACGTGACACCATCATCAGCTGGATACCTATGTTCTCATGAACCTGAAGCTACCTGCAACATGAAGTCAAATAAAAAGGTGCTTAATCCTACTGAAGGACCTGAAAAAGAGAACCTTTTTTTTGGTCCTTCACAAATTTCAGAGGACATGGCACCATCATCAGCTGGATGCCTCTGTTCTCACAAACCAGAAGCAGCCCGCAACATGAAGTCAAATAAAAAGGTGCTTAATCCTATTGAAGGACCTGAAAAGGAGAACCTTTTTTTTGGTCCCTCACAAGTTTCGGAAGATGTGGCACYGCCATCAGCAGGATACCTATGTTCTCATGAACCAGAAGCCACCTGCAACGTGACAAAAATCTTTAGTGGGCARGATGATGGGATGGAAATGACAACGTGTCAGGCATCTGATGTTAAGCCTGTGTTTCCTGGCTCTTGTGAGGCTCCACCAGAGCAATTGGTGTGTGCAGATGTTACTGAGGCATTTGTAGATGACGGTATGGATATGACAATTAATTATACTGCAAAACTCTCTTTTCCCTCCTCCAATATTGAGAGTCRAAGTCTGAACTTCCAAAAGGATTTTCCAGCCACAGAATTAGGTAATAATTCTTTTGGTCCTTCACAAGTTTCAGAAGATGGGGCACCATCATCAGTGGGATACCTGTATTCTCACGAACCAGAAGCCACCTGCAACGTGACAAAAATCTTTAGTGGGCARGATGATGGGATGGAAATGACAACGTGTCAGGCATCTGATGTTAAGCCTGTGTTTCCTGGCTCTTGTGAGGCTGCACCAGAGCAATTGGTGTGTGCAGATGTTACTGAGGCATTTGTAGATGATGGCATGGATATGACAATTAATCATACTGCAAAGCTCTCTTTTCCTTTCTCCAATATTGAGAGTCGAAGTCTGAACTTCCAAAAGGATTTCCCAGCCACAGAATTAGGTAATAATTCTATATTAAAGAGAACACCTAAGCTGCAATTGCTTGTTCAGGAGAACCCCCAGCTTTGTACAGACAAGACCATGGTAAATACTGAAAACAGGCTAGATGCTACAGTGCTACAAGCTGTTGACCAACAACCTCAACCAATGCCTGTGATTCCAGGATCTGCTTCCTTTGACACCGTCTTCCAATGTGATAAAACTGTTGCTTTTTCTATGGGTGATGACATGGAAATCACTGGGAATTATACAGGTGTAATAGACAATGAAAGCACCAAGGAAGTTGGCAGTTTGTGTAGTAAAGCTATCGAAAAAACAGCTCATGCAAAATCTTTGCTAGTAGAACATTCACACCCGGTATGTGGTGATGATGATAGGGACGTTGCAAAAAATCTAGCTGATAATTTTATCCCAAAAGTTCTCTGTGGTGGTAAACTGAACTTGGATAAAGAGGCTGGACAGGAGGTTCTTTCAAATAGCAGAGCTACTACTGTGTTTGCTATGGGTGATATGGAAAACACAGAAACCCGTAATGGACCTTTGCAAAAAATTGCTCCGCAAGGTAGGCAGCACAACCAGTCCGTTTCTTTAACTTCCATTGATAAAACAATTATGTTTACAAGTGAACAGAATGACATGGAAATGACTGTTGATAACAGTATTCATAGAATCTTATCTCAGGACAGGCTAAACCTTGCTAAGCAGGCTGGAGAGGAGACTGTTTCAAATGGCAAAACAGTTGTCTTTATTTTGCCTGAGGATATGGAGATCACCAAAACTCACACTGCTGTATTAAGTGGTGAGCTGGATTTACAGGCTAGACCATCCACTTCTCTTCCTGCTGATAAAACCATTCTGTTTTCAGACAGCCAAGAGGATATGGAAATAACTGCCCCTCATCCTTTTGCTCTTAGCAGTGATGTTACAGAATCCAAGAACCAAGAACTGTCGCGTAAAAGCACTCGGCAACTGAGCTCGCAGGGTGTGTTGTCAGCCTCTGGCAGAGAGGGAACATACTGTGCAAAAGACCTAACTGGGGAATATCCTGCAGAGCCTAAGGGTAAAACTGACCCTTCTGCTTCATCAGCCTCTGTGTTTCCTAGTGAAAAAGAAACTATTAGAGGCCACAGTGATGAAGTAGCAGATTCTGTTTATGCTGCGGCACTTCCAGAAGACGCTTTGGATGTCCACACACACCCCAGTCCCACAGGGAACTGCGTTTCTGCAAACGATCAAGAGCTAGGAAAACTGAAGTCAAGGAGAATGTCTTTCAAGCTTCCAAGTAATGGTGTTGTGGATTTCAGTGAAGGAGGGGAAGATCTGGTGTCTCATGTTTCACCTCCTATCCAGCAGCCAGATTCTCTGAAGAGCGTGCCTGATACCCTCGGTACTCGAGGAAACCAAGGCTTGAAAGATGATTCATCTAGACAGGAAGATCTAGCTACAGATTTCGCCATGGACAGATCAAAAATCGTTCCAGTTTCTAACAACAAATCGCATGAAGATGAGGTGTTTTCACCTGAAGGGGAGAAACTTCCGGAAGACTTCCCAATAAACTCCAAACAAACTGGGCAACTTTCAGTCAGTGACATTCCAGGAGATCAAATAGATCCCACTCTGGTCCCTAAATTATCGAGTATCTTAAACGTTTGTTCAAAGCTGAAAAATATCAGAAGGAGATCTGCAGTTGTGTCTGTTTCTGAAGGAACTTATGCTGACCACTTGCCTAAGTTAGCAGCTCAAGCAGAGGACACTTTGAGCACAGGAAAAAACACTGCTGAGGAGGAGAATGTGTGTCTGGAATCTGCAGCTGCTCCAATACAGGCAAACTCAGGCATGGCCCTGATGGATAAATATCAGGGAATAAATGTCCCTCTAGGTATTTTTCTGCCGAAGTTACCAAACAGAAGAAATCCTTCTATTTCTAGTGAGCAAGACATAAATGTAAAATCTTCAGGCAAAATGGGAGCAGTGATTTCTGAGGTAAGACCAGACCCTGCAGAAAGCCCAGATGGCAACAACTGCAGTGAGCAGAACCTGAGCCTTTCTCAGTTTATAGAAGAAGAATTTCTTCCCGTCTTCCCAGAAGAAATGGATTCAAATGAATCTGTAAATTCTGAACCAGAAGGAGGATCCCACGAGACGAGCAAAGGAGAAATTCCTTACAATGAAAGGACTCAATCTGAAAACACAAGAGCCTCTAGCAGTCCAAAAAGAGCTTTGGAACACGATGAAGAGGCCCTTCCACAACTAAAGAAGGTCAAAATGGATGAATCTTTGGATGGTGAGGCCTCCCAAGCCCTGCAGGTGAGCCTAAATCCTTATTGGGAATTCCCTATGTGTTAGTGTTCCCTATAGCGTTCCCTGTAGGGAACACTAACAGGACTTCTATTTAAGTTGTGGTGCAAACATCTAATTCTTAGGTTGTCTTGTTTGCCTTAAGCAAATGTTTCTAACGTTTTCCACAATATTTCTCTTGTTTTGCCATCATGGGAAAAAAAAAACCCAACTACATAAATATATAAAACCTTCCTGAACCATCAAAAACAGACAGAATAAGGGATATATCAATACTATGTTACTCTCTCTGTAGGAAACTTAATCCTTCAGTAATAAATTCTAATAGCCTTCAGAACTGAACTGTTTGATAGTTGTTGCTTAGGTATAAAGACCTAGTCGGGCCTAAAAGAATTACTTAAAGTCCAAATATGACTCTTGATTTAAACTAGATTTATTACAGACAGCACAAATAGCTATGGAAACAAGAAAATCTGGGCAAATTTTGATGATCATCAAAACGTTCCAGACTTTCTAGTTCCAAAAGCTAGGAGAATGTGCTGTGGTGGCTACTGCTGCAATTAGGAAGTGAAGCTCCAAACTCTTTCATTCACTTCTCATCAGCCAGGGTAGGAAATGGCTCGAGTGGCCATCTGCAGGTTTGTCGTGCTAATTTAAATGCTAATTGCTAAAAGTGAAACAACCAGCTATATAAACCATTGTTTATGTTATTCTTTTTATGTGTGTATATAACCATACCAAATTATTTCTCTTTTGGTGTTTTTGTTTGTTTGTTTTCTTTTCAACTTGCTTAATTTTAGGTTATTTCTGCTGCTGTGTCTAAAAGCCAAATAGAAGTTCACGAAGATGGAGATTCTCCAGCTAAAAGCCCTGACTGTACACAGGCCAACACCAGCAGCTCTCTGGATTCTGTTAAGGCTGACACAGAATTAACTAGTAAGATGTAGCAACTGTAAATGAGATCTACTAATTGCCTTTAGTTCTTTTGGCTTAATCAAGTTGGAGCCTCCTCCTAGCATGTATTTCAACTTGGGAAGTTAACATTTAAATCGTCAGACTTAAACATATGTGTCATGGCTTCCTGCCCAGCTGGTTCTTATGCTTTTACATTCTGCCTGTACGTTCTGAGAAACTGTGGAAACTTCCATTTTATCTTAGGGGAAGGTGCCCTTTTTAATGAGGAACAACTAGCCCTTGCTGGCCCAGAACTTGAAAACCCTGTTTTACCTTGAAAGGTACTGGCAGCTCAGCTGCCTTTGGGTCTCTGTCTACCTAAAGTGCCATAAATTAATTGATTGGAGTCCGTTTCTCAGATTTATTATTGTCTAGTTTATTAATCATGGCTTTCCACCCTTAAAAAAGTGAGCTCCTTATTAGTCTGACTCAAATTTATATTCCAGCATTATGTTTTTCCTCTAGTCTTCCCTGTTCATCAGCTGAGTCCTGAGTAGTTTAGCTGAGTACTGAGTTATTTACTCAATAACTTCATTCAGCACTGGAAAGAGATTAAAATTGCATTAATACATTAGAATTGCCTTTTTTTTTTCTTGTTCCTGAGGTTATATCTGTATTTCCATGTAATTATTTTTTAACTACAGCAATCTCCTTTCTGTCTAGTTCAGCGAAGCAGCCAGATGGAATCTCACCTTTTCATGGACAGCATTTGTGAAGAAAACCTACGGGAGGTATGTAAGCAGCTGAGAGACACTAACTTTTTGTCATAATAGGAACAATATTTATGTGTGTGTGTGTGTGTGTGTGTTTGTGTATGCAAGTATTTGTGTTTTAGTGATGTATTTTATGTTTGTACTGACCCTTGCAGAAACTTCAAAGTGGTATCATCACAGTTGGAGAATTTTTCACTCTTCTTCAAGTCCATATTCCAATTCAGAAGCCCCGGCAGAGTCATCTTCCAGCCAACGTGAGTAGCTGTCCTCTCAAGTGCCCATCAATGACCTTACAAAAAAAAAAAAACCTGTCAAACTGAAAGAACACTGAAAGGAAGACATTTCTTGGGTAGAAATTTTTTAGGTCTCCCTTTCGAGAAGTTAATCACTCTCAAATTAGTTTTTTGAATATCAGTGATGAAGCGTATGTTCCAACAAGAAATTTGTACTGAAACCTGAGTCATAAAAGTGAAATGAATTACTTAGGCTGTGTTATTATCTTGGCACAGAATGAAACAAGACAAGCCCACAATTAAGAAAATGATTTTAGGGAGTCTGGCTGCCTCTATTACTGTTTTTTTGCTTATTTGTTTTTTTCTCCTGATTCTGCACAGTAAGGATTCCAAGTCCCTTGATGGCTTCTGTACACAAATTGATTGGAAGCCAGTGTTTCTGTACATCCTTTTTTCTTTCTACCTTTCTTTTCCCTCTCTATTTTATCCTTGTTTTCCGCAGTACACAGTGAGCACTCCACCTACTGAAGAAGATTTGCTTTACAGCCAGTACATATATTGCCCCACGGTGTGTATTTACGAAGAGGATTGCCAGGCCCTTTCTCAGATGATAGAGGAGTAAGTCTTGCTTTTTTTCATTTGCTCGGTATATTAGTAATTTAACCTTTTTCAGCTCAGGTTGCAGTCAGAATGGCCTGAGGAGAGTTAATACATTACATATGGGGGAAAAAAAAACCCAGAAAATGATAGGTAAGCTACTTCATGCTAGCACACAGTTTTTTATGTACTTAGAAAATACAGGGCAAAATCTTGAAGAGTTGTTTTTGTGGAGACGATTCAAGTTTTGATTTTTCCTCAGTTTATGATTTACTGTGTTTCAGTTGCACAACAAATGGATTAGAGTAAAATTTGGAGTTGTATAAAAAATAAATACAGGAAACAATAACAGGTTATAATTTCTTGTTGTTTGCTCTAATTGTTCACTATTTATTAGGCTAAAATAAAGGCAGCATGATTTATTTTCTCATCTGAGAAAAGCTTCTAATCTGATTCATTATGCCTGCTGCAATTTAAGTATTAAAATTTATGAAAAAATGCAGAAGCAATAGTAAGATTCCTTTTTTTTCCAATTTCTGTTCTCACATTCTACTTTATCTTCCACATCTCCACCTTGTGGTCAGAGCTGCCCTCACCAAAAAGCCTTAAGAAAGGGAACTTTAGGCACTACAGTTAGTCAAATATAGTCTCCATATAATCCAGGCTTTGGAGGGCCTCTCTAATTTGTGACACCCTGTGAAATGGAAATATTTACATTCTCATGTTTTAATTAGAACAGAGGAATGTGTACAAACACCAGTGTGCTTTTTACATGCACAATGTGGTTGTAACTAACCCTCTAACCCCACCACCCCTGTCCTTTCTCCCCTTTTCAGATTAAAACCTTATGCAAGTGTCCAGAATCAGCTCTTGGTGAATGTGAACAGGAGCTTGTGGGAAGTGATGAGAACCTGCTCTGATGAAGAGGTAATATTATGTGAAGAGACGATGTTCACAAGTAACTTATTACTTACATAGCCAAAGGTTTGAGTGGGAGGGCATTTGTCCTCTGTAACGTGCTAGAGAGAAAATGTTGCTGTAAAACAGCAAACTTAAAATGACAATTTAAGTTGATTGGGTTGGGTTTGTAGTAGCAAACATTGCTACTAGAGAAATGGGACATAGGGGCAGAAGGATTGGCAGCAAGGAAGGGAAAAGGAATATAAAAAGTTAACTGAAAATGCTTTGTTTCACATTCCCGTTTGCTTTCTCCTCTTTGTTTTTCCTCCTTGTTACAGCTGAGGAACTTTGGAGCAGAATTGAACAAAATGAAATCCTATTTCACCAAGGAAAGTAAAATCCTGGCTCACAATGGGAAAGTGACACTGTACAGCAAACTGTTGCAGAGCACACAGGTAACCTGGCAGGTGACAGTAGCGGGTTAGGTTCATAAGTGGAACCTTACCATATTTCATCCAGATTAAAATAGTATAAGCCAGGGCCATCAAGTTTAGAAGCATAATTAATGTATGTAAGTGTACATCCTCCTGATAGTTTCCTTTTTATTAGACATGTTTCCCTTTTGTATGCAAATGTAAAGCGCATTAGGACAGTGACTCGTGTCTTTCACTTAAGCAATAAGAATGTTCTGCCTAAGGGTTTCCTGAAGCAAAGTTACAGAGGAAGAGGGGAAAAAAAGGAGTTTTGCAGGAAATGCTGTAAGAAATTAGCTCCCTAGGCTGTAATAATCTGTCAGGATTGGTACCTAAAAAGGGAATGCAGGATGATGCATTGTGATGGGTGACTTGTGCTAAACTTTAGAGAACTTTTTTTTAGCCACATGTGCCATCTCACGCCTTTGTAAGGAAAGTAGGAAGATGGTGAAATGTCCTGCACTTTAAGTTACTACCCTAATGTCTGTCAGTCTGCCCCTTCATTCTAATGACAGATTGCATCAGCTCTCTTAATTAGTCTCTTAGCAAGCCAAGCCCCATGTGGTAGTCCCAGAAGACATGCTGCTTTCTGAGAAATTATTGACTTGTGAAAATTGGGCTCTTTTGAAATGCGTTTTTACACATCTTAGGAACAATGGGAGGAACTGCAAATGAGAAAAACAAAAATGGAGGAAATCCTCACAGAGGCAGAGACCTGTCTTGCTGCTCTGGAGGGAGGTAAGTGTTTCCAAACTAGTAACTGCTCTGCTGCTTTCTTGTCCAGTTCCTTTAGTTTTCTGTAGTGCTGCTGTTTACATGATCACTTCAAGATCCTTGTTTGGTGGTTGCTTGGAATTTTAAAATTCCCACGTTAAAAGTAATCTCTTAGGGCTTTATCCGCTTCATTCATGGCTGCAAACCTGTCTTATGGGAATTTCCCACACAGCATGCAAAGGCTAGGAGTCTATCTGTGCTGGAATACACAATTCTAACTGTAGCCTAGGAACATATAACCAGGTTGGCTAAACCTGCTAGTATAGCTGCAAAACCTGCTGGTGACCCTGGCAGAGCATCAAGTGCTGCTGTCCTGCAAAACTTCTGTTTGCAGTGTCTAATCTGGTTGGTTAAAGCTTGTTCAGCAAAGTTTGCAGTCAGTATTTGGGACTGCAGCTTTGCAATGCCCTGTGTACTTTGCTTTTTTCTCTCTAATTAATTTTCTTCTGATGCCTTAAGTGGAAATCAAACTGTACTGTATCAGCTTTGAAAGTGTATAATTAAAAAAAGAAAATCACTTTCTAGTGCTAAAGTTTCTGAAGTTTTTGGTAGATACCTTTCTTGGCTTCTTGTACATTTTTTTTGTTTTCATGGCTAGTTTTCAACTTTTGACAATTATAGAACCCAGAGACAAGTAAAAATGGAATGTGAACATGGAATCTGGGAGTTCTGCTGAGGCCTTCTGACATTTCCTTCCCACAGATTCCAGCTGGGACGAATTTGAAGCAACATGTAATGAAAAGGCGGGATGCGAGTCTGAAGGGAGAAAAATAGATCAAGGTAATGAATGGTACCAGCTGAACTGCACGTTGTTTGGAGGCTTTGGAGATGGTGATGCTCCACACTACTGTCCCCACTGCCCTCGCCATTTAAGTTTTGAACTTTAAAACCTGGAACAGAGTGAATTAGAGTGTGCTGGGGTTTATACCCAGACCACTCAATAAGCAGTAACTTTTGTGGATAATCTGTCTATATACAAGAGGATTAACAGCCAAGAGATTGGGTTCTTTTATATTGTTAAGAACAAGGACAGCAGAGCAAGTGAGGATTTTCTCTGCTGCTCTAGTCTGAAATATGTAGCCTGGTGTATTTTTTTTCTCTCTTTTCTCCTTTCTTTTAGAATTGGAAAACCTCAGAGCTCAAGAAGAGCAGCTTCAAAGGTAAGACTTAAAAAGGAACTAAGCTTAAAAAAATGACTGCACATGCAAATTCTAGACACTTCTTTCTTTTCTTAATCAGTGTGCTTTGCTCTCTCAGGAGCACCTGAAGCAATTGTTTTCCCTTTGCAGAGAACTGTCAGATCTGGAGAGTGAGAAGGAGCAAGTGCTTGCTGAGATAAACCAGCTGCAGAAGAAAGAAAAAACCTGTGAGAAACTTATGAACATGTACAACGAGTAAGGAAAGGACCTTCAAGGATTTTGTGTCTTGTTTTTTATTATTATTATTTTTCTTTATTCTGAGTCCTCATGTTTTTATCTTAAAGGCATTGTTCTGTTTTTGTGATTTGTTTAATTTGGCACATCTTTGGATGCCCGTCAACAGAAAGTCTGGGATGAGCAGTTCAGTGACCTTCAGTGTAGCTTCTTTATCTCTTCTCTTATTCCAAAAACACTTTAAAAAATGTTTTTAATTCTGTCAACTATTTTATGCTGGTATTTCCCATAGATTTTTATGTTCTATTGGAAAGTGAACTAGTTGGTTTATTACATAATAGCTGCAAGTGCACTTAATACACTGACTTTTGTCATTCAGTTAATTCTGGTTGGTTGAAACTTGGCTTTCATTATTTTTTTTTTTTTTTAGCTTCAATGAGTGGGAAATTAGTGAATGGAGTGATCAGCAGGCAGTCTTTACTTTTCTTTATGATTCCATTGAATTCAAGGTAGTCTTTGGATCAGCAATTGGTAAGTTGTCAAAACTGTAAGTTTTTGTTTTATGTGATTGAAAGTTTCAATTGCTATATAATTAAAACACAAAGGCTCTTAATCTGTGAAGCCACCAAGGGGAAATAGAACAAAATATAGTGGGAATATGTAAACTAAGATGTGAGGGTTAGGATATGGATATCAATGCTTTCTATATATAAAAAAAAGAAAATGTATGTATTAAATAGCTGTTGTTGAAATTTGAATAATTGAAAGGGTTCCATAGCTAAGTATGGTTTGTTACTTCCTCCCCACCCCTCTCTTTTCAGATGGTGATGTTTTTGGTGGAATTCCCTGCAGAAAGATAGAGAGCATGGGCTTTGAATCCCTCCTGGATGGTAAGATTCTTTTCGATTAGCTTGAAAGCAGCTGCTCTGGTTAACAGTTCTTGGGATGATGTCTGTAAAATTGTGAGGTTTTTCTTCTGGCAATGTACTACTACATGTCTTTGAAAAGCCTGCTAGCAACATGTTTGTCTCTGATCCTACAGAAGAAGCAGCTCCACTTTCTTCACGTTTAGCCCAAAGGCTCATTTTCCAGTTTATTGAAAGCAAAGGATGCTGGCAGGAAAGGTGCCCCACGCTCCACTACTTGCCCCAGGTAATGTTCTGGGAAAGCCTATAGCACTCCGGAAAAGTGCGGAGTTTCTGTCACACAGAACAGGGCTGATGTTGAGGGCAAAAAAATCACTTTCTTGAATGCTTCATCAGTGCAAACTATAATGTGAGTATGCTCTTGTCATTCATTGGGAATATTTGATTTACTTGAACACAGATTGGAAACTAGGGCTTCTTCCCTCTGTTGTCTTGATGACTGCCTGCCTTAGTGATTTCCAAAACCCATTTTTGTCACTGTACAAGTGGAACTAAGGAACTGTGCTAAGTAACATTGTACTTTCTAGAGATTTAGTGGTTTAAGTTGCCAAACTAAACTCGCTGTTCCTGCCTACCTGTACACCTCTTGACAATACTAGAGGGAGAAGCTTAGGGCAACAGATATTTGTTCCTATGCTTGTACAATTCCATTTTAACATCCAACTTGAGACAGCAGGTAAACTATGTATTTTTTTGCATGCTTTCCAGCATAAGCTGCATTTTGAAGTGTCATGTTGTTTGCCAGCCTGATTTCCAGGGTGATTGGTTTTCTGATTACCCACTTAGGTGCTTCACGACATCTCCTTGGTTGTGAGTCGTTGTAAGGCCCTTGGAGAGGAGATTGAATTTCTGGAGAAATGGGGTGGAAAATTTAATCTTCTAAAGACAGATATCAACAACACAAAGTAAGTAACTCTCTACAGACTCTTTTTGAAGAACTGGTGCAAATTATGTACAATGGCACACCTAAAAAACCTCTTTGAACTATTTTCAAATTGATCTTCCTGAAAGAGAGATTTTTAGGTGACTATTTTTAACAATAGTATTTTTAATAAAATTGAATAATAGCATCCAAATGTGTAGAAATGGAGCTGTTCTTGGTTTCAGTGAGTTTCCACACTATTATATAATCCTTCCCTGCTTGGTACTTTCCTGTTTCACTTAAATCTGTCACCTAAAGCCTTAGGTCAGAGCGTAGCAATTGAGAGGAAGCAGAATCACTTTGTTTCTTGTACTATAGGCTTAATTTTAAGTTTGCTTCAGCCCAGCAGAATCAGTTTTGAGGCTGAATATCCCTTTGCCCAACTGGTTCCTCATCTTGTGTCATTCCCCAGGGGAACACGATAAATATTTTCCCTCAATCTTTTTTCATCGTTGTATGCATCCTGTGCTCAGGCTCCTGTGGGATATCCACTTGGAAAAGACCTCTTGGATTCTTGGCCTGCTTTACAGTATCCCCACATACCTCCTTGCTCAGCCTTGTGTACTTGGTGACAATTCCTCCCTCATTTGCAATAAGACTCATTAGTTTTCACATCTGGAATCTCATTGCAAAGAGGCAGCAGTGCATTCAAACGTTCCTGTATTGATTTTGTTGCTCTTGTTTTTTATTTTCACGCAGAGTGAAGCTTTTGTTCTCCAGCTCTACAGCTTTTGCGAAGTTTGAATTGACCCTGGTGTTGTCTGCCAGCTACCCCTCAGCTTCGCTGCCTTTTACTGTCCAAACAAAAATTGGGAACATTGGGTGAGTTCAATGAAAAGCACCACGCGGTCTAACTTAACTTCCTAAGCTTATGAGCGGTGAATTAAATGTTTTCTGCCCTCACAAATGACTGTGATGATTTTCTTTGCCAGAGAGGAGGAGATTTCTGCTGTTGTGTCCAAGGTACCCACTGGTTACCAATATTTGCGGAGAGTGGTCGGCTCGATTCATCAGAACCTGCTCCAGGATCCCAGATGATTCACGTGCTGGATTGAAGGTGTCCAACTGGATATTCTTGGCTCCCCTCCCACAGGAATTCACAGCAGCCTCGCTGCACCATGAACACTGTTAGCTGCTTAGCTCTTTATGAATTTTGCCCAGTAGCTGATTTCTGGGATGCTCAGTGTAAGCCCTAAACTCATCCCTTAGACCAAAGCCTAGATGCAGATATCCCAAGGGCAGGAGGAAGCATTTATGCCTCTTAATTAACCCAGCCTGATGCTATTGGACTCCTCCTGTAGTCTTCCAGGTTGCTTTTGTATAGTCTGAAATATAGGTTGAGCCTGGTGCTAACTGAGCTAATCCCGAATGATTTATGATGCTGAAGGGCCCTAGCAATTCTTAACTGTCCATTTGGTGTAGGCAGCTGATGAGTTTTTGTGTCTCTGTAAAATATGTTGATTTTTTAAATATTTTCGTGTGTGTGTTTATAGATATTTTTTGTCTTTTTCATTTTTTCCTTCTCTTTGGAGGCTAGAAGTTCATTTGAAAAATTATATTATTATTGCTATTTGTGGGTTTTTTTTCCCCCACTTGTGACGACTGTCGTATTTAAAACAAACTTGTGACTGGAAATTTGGCTTCTTCTCTTGGTACCTACATAGGAGGACTCTTTGAAATATGAACTTGCAGTTTTTACTTGTGTTTCCTCGTGTTGGTCTTCTATGATCTGATGCTCAGGGGAGTGATTTTTACTTCTGAACCTAGCGCCAAAGCCACACCTAAATAAAGTCCCTGCACCTAAAATACCTTTCAGGTTTCCTAAGGTTGTTGCCATGTAAGTGTTATCAACCAGTAGAGGTTGATACAGTTGTCCTGTTTAAATGTTTTCTTTCAGCTTGTTTCCAAGTGGATCAGATTAAACAAAACAACCCCAGCGGCCCTGCATCTGCAAGAGAAAAGGATTGTGGCAGCACTGAAGTAACTCCACTTACTACATATTATATGGATGTCTTTAAACAGGAATTAAATCTTACAGCCTGTGTCATCTCTCAGCTACCTTCCCCTGCTCTCCTTCATTACTGTTAGTATCTCCATAGAGATCATCTATTCACACACATAACGAGCTTTTGCAAATTAAGTTTTATTAAACTCAGTTTTTCAACCTTTTTTACCCAGAGTTAAGGTAAGAGCCTGTTCTCACTCGTTTCTTTCAGTCCCCACTGTAATTCGAGTTGTAAAAGTGGGTTTACTTTTTACTTAAGCAGGATTTCACCTAATTTTACTTACTTGGCTTAATTTTGCTTCTAATTCTGTAAAATTAAGTAAATTTATATATATAGTGGTTGGGGGAGAGGGAAATAGAGGAAGTGCTGTCGTTTTATTTCTCTTTTTTTGGGTAATACAACAGTTAGGAATGGAGGCGCCACTGAGATGTTTTCCTCCCACACGAGCGAGGGGAGAGGGCGGGGCCGCCCCTTTAAGGAGGGGCGTGGCGCGGAGCGCGGCGGCCCCGCCTCCCTCCCAGCGCCCGTCTGCGCGTGCGCGGAAGGGGCGGGGCCGGCGCCGCGCGCGTCGTCACGTGACGCCGTGGCGGGCTCCTGCGAAGCGGCGGCGGCCGCGCGCCCGTTAACGGTCGGCGCGCGCCCGTTAACGGTCGTCGGCGGCGCCGGGCCGGGCCCAGCGGCGGGTGAGTGAGCGGCAGCGAGGGCGGCCAAGCGGCCGCGGGGCCCCGCCGCCCCCTCCGCATCGCCGCGCCGCGGTGTTGCCGCCCCGCGTGCCCCAGCTCGCCCTGGCGCGGCCCTGCTCCGAGCGGGAGGCGGTGGGGTGGGGGCGGAGGGGCGCTGCGCGAGGGAAACCTGTGAGGAAAAACGACGCCCGTTGAGACGACGGGGGAAATAAAGGTGAACGGGAAATGCTGGGCACCCCCGCACTTCATATATACATATATGCTTGTTTGCGCCCTCCCCAGCAGTCCCCTCGTTGAAGACAGGGACGTGGGGGGCTTCTCAAAGGCACAGGATGAGTCTGAGGGTGCCCCCCCATGAGCAGACCCAGATATAGAGATAAGAACAGGGAGAAAACGGCTGCGTATTGCTCTAGGTTGTCTGTTAACGCATTCTGGAACGGTCAGCACGCGCAGATGTATATATATAAATATTTGTTATAGGTGTTGGAAGGGCCTGTGCTGCGTCACACAGTTGCCTGATGTTCTCTTGCCGCCAGGGCTGCGCTGAGCATCGGATACGATGGCCGTGCAGATGCAGTACGAGGCAAACGCCGACACGTCGGCCGAGGAGGAGAGCTTGGGCCCGCAGCTCATATCCAGGCTGGAGGTGCGTCCAAACCGGCTCGAGAATGAGTTCCTGAGAAAACTGACCTATCGGTCACCTTCAGTGTCTATTAAATCAGAGACATCTGCCTGATCTATACCATCTAGGTAACTAATGATTCCTGCAAACATTGCGCTGGTGTTACAGAACGGTTGAGGTTGGAAGGGGCCTGTAGAGATCATCTAGTCCAACCTCCCTGCTCCAGCAGGGACACCCAGAGCATGTAGAGAGACCTTTTCTTTTTTTTTCCCCTCATGTTTCCATGTTTTTTTCATGGTATATAAATCACTAGGGAGTCCGTTGCTTTGTAATAACAAAGCTTGATCCAGATCTGCTGGAGCCATTCAAAGGCCTCCAGTGGAAGGCAGATGAGAGTGTTGTCTGCGAGGTTCATGTGTCTTTTCCTTCTCTCCCCAACCTGCCTACGTTTTAGCAATGTGGTATAAATGCAAACGATGTCAAGAAGCTGGAAGAGGCCGGATTCCACACAGTGGAGGCTGTTGCCTATGCACCGAAGAAGGAGTTACTGAATATTAAAGGTATCAGTGAAGCCAAGGCTGACAAAATCCTGGTAAGGATATTATGCAAAAAGAAAAAACTTCAATTTCAACCCCAAATTTTAGGAAACCTTATAGCTGCTGGCTCAAACTATTTTAGTCACCTTGAAGGTCTCAGTAAGCGATATCCTGATATCCAGTAAGGAGAACCAGAGATAGAAACTGTCCTTTTCGTGGGGAAAAACAAATTAGCCTAGGACTGGCTTCAAGAAACACAGACAACTAAAAAGGCCCGTAAAAATTGTGGCAGGTTTGCAGAATATGGTCAAATTATTATTTTGGGGTCAGAATTTCTTTGATAAGAGGCTTATGATAGGCAGGCAAAACAAGTATTTTTTCATGTCGGATGTAACTGAGAGGTGGAACTCATTGTCTTAAGATACACTGGGTTTCTGTAGAATGAACTGGTTAAAAAGGAACATGTTCAAAAAGATACATTTATAGCATTATTAGGATGAGCTTCAGGCTTCTCCGCTATTAAGTATTTCTAGTTTCACATGGACAGAACTGAACCCAAGTGTTGGTTACAGGGAGAAACATTTCTACAAAATGTACAAAATGGGTGTGGAAGCTTTTTCTCTGAGCAGAATTTCATTTCTGTTTAATAGTGAAACCGAATAGCCCAATGATCTATAAAAGCAAATGTATGCATTGAATTTTATAGCTGTTTCTTCATTTCTACAAAGCAGAAAGCTACCTTATTAATCACTAGAGAGGTTAAATGATCAGGATGAACATTCCTTACAACACTTAGTTTGGTTTTCTTCAGGCTGAAGCAGCTAAACTAGTCCCGATGGGTTTTACTACAGCGACAGAATTCCATCAGCGGAGGTCAGAAATTATCCAGATCACCACTGGGTCCAAAGAACTTGATAAACTTCTTCAAGGTAATAATTGTGTAGCTTTATTGATTAACCTTCCTTTTCTTTTTCCTTCTATACAAGACATGATGTTTGAGCAAAAAATAAAAAATCATAAGAAGACGTGTTTTAGTTTAACTACAATAGTCCTTAGTACTTCTTTCCTGTACCACAAGCAGTTCTCTTTAAAAAGCTGCAGTGGTAGTTTTGAAAGCTTTTGGTCATGATGTGTGAATCCAGAGTTGGTCACCTGAGATCATTTAGTCTGTTCTCTAGTTGGCTTCCAGAAAACAAAATTAAGTATCACCATCATCATTCCACCACCAGCCATAAAGACAAAGCAAAAAAAGGTGTCTCAGCAATGCAGTTCATTCAAAAATACACTTACCTAAACTGCAAAGTGAAATGCAACTTGTGTGCAATATGAACAAATCTCAGTATCAAAACTGGTTTCAACAATTAGTTTTGAAGCTTAGAAAGTCACTTTAGCTGAAACACAGTTTTATCTGTCTTTGTAAATGTAATACACTGCATTCAGTCTGTTTAAAGTAGGCAGTCATCTGTGTTTTCTTTTTTTCCTTTCATTTCCTTTGTATTTTTTTATTTTATTTTTTAAGGAGGGATAGAAACAGGATCCATAACAGAATTATTTGGGGAGTTTCGTACTGGAAAAACACAGTTGTGTCATACCCTGGCAGTAACCTGTCAAGTGAGTAGTCTGCTTTACTAGTCATATACTTAAATTTTTAATAAATCAAGCATTGATTTTTCTTTCCTTCTTTCTTGACTTCTCCCATTTTCCAGATAAATGTGACTGTAGTCTGTATAGGCTTGGTATGTTGTTTATTGTATTAATATTAGTTGAGGGCACAGAGAAATAACAGGGTCGTTTGTTGTCAGTCTGCTCCCTGCTCATTCATTTGCTCTTTATTTTAGCTTCCGATCGACCGAGGTGGTGGTGAAGGAAAAGCCATGTACATTGACACAGAAGGCACTTTCCGCCCAGAACGTCTTCTTGCCGTGGCTGAAAGGTCTGTACTTAGAGTTGGAAGTAAATTGTCACTAGGTGAAAAACAAAAATGCCTTAATTCCTGATGGGACAACTTAGGTACTTAATGAGGATCACAGTACACGTAGCTCAGTTCCTTAAATTAGCTGGACTGTTGTAGTAAGAATTGTTCCTATAAAAGCTCCCCTCATTCTAGTCTGCCTTGCTTGAAGAAAATAAACATCACTCCTGTCTGCAAGAAAGGCAAGGAGGAGGATCCAAAGATGTGACAGCCAAGAAGGTTGTCGTGACTGGGTAGAATTTATGAAGGGGACATCATGCCTGATCAACCCGATAGCCTTCTATGATGATAAAACTGGTATGGAGGATGAAGGGAAAACAGTGGCTGGTTTTAAGTAAGGTTTTTGATACTGTCTTTATAACATGCTCATAGCAGTCACAGGAGGCACAGGTTACATGAGCAGACAGTGGGATGGTTTGAAAATTGTGTAGCAGAGCTCAGAGGGTTGTTGTGAGCGGTACAAAGTCTGGCTGGGGGCCTGTCACCAGCGATGGCCCCGGGCATCAAATGTTCGCCAACTGAAAGGCATTTTCGTCAGTGACCCGATGAAAGGAGCTGCAGGTGGTGGCTGTTACCTTTTGACTTCAGAGCTCCGTAATCCACATCCATAAATC